AAACGTCAGGAAGAAATTCCGATAGACCACGGCTTCAAAGCCCGGAAAACATTCCTAAATGTAATCTGACCGGCCGTGAAAGCCTTCATAGTATTATTTGAAACTTTTTGAAAACTCATTGAAAACCTCATTTCCTCGCTTTAGACCAAAAACCAGAAAAACCGCGTTTCTACAGAAAATGTAGCTCAGTGAATGTTTAAGTGTTGGAGTAGAGCTGCGTAAATGGCTTGGTACTCAGTAACTCAGTTCCGTTGCTGGAAAAACGATACTCCGAATGGTAAAATTCCAGTCTACGGTTTCGCACAGCTTAAATCCGCTTTAATAAATGAGTTACGACTCATTCACCGATGAGTTATAACTCATTAACTCAGAGAATGACAACAACTCAAAAGCGCAACTCAACACAGTGTTACGCAAGCCTAGTACGAAGAACATCAAGCGCGACATAATTTTTTATTAGGTAGACTCTATCAATCTGATTAATAGCATCGATAATTGAATAAATCCAAATAAGGCAAATATAAAAATTCTTAAATGCTTGCCAAAAATACCCATATGTATTATCAACTAACTTTTACACAACTATTTTAGTGAGTTAAACTAGAAATTATGTGAGTCATATTCACCCTGTTACTATATTATGAATCATATAATAAAAGAACACAAATAGATATGAAAGGGAATGAAAAATACTCCCTATATGTAAAACACACAAACACTTAGCATTACTTTGCCCCTGGTTAGTACATGGAGAACTTTTACTCATCAACAGACTCGTAGGGTGGATTTGGTGTCGATTGAGCTATTGGTTCTTTGGTAGTAAATTTTTAAACTTTGAGAATATTTTGAGCGGCTTTGCCTTTTTATATTAAGCTCATCTGAATCTTTTCGCTAGAAAACCGCTTTAGATATAGAAATTTGGGTTCCAGCATTCAATACAAGTAGCATCAGCATACTGATAGGGTGGATTCGGTTCCGATTGAACCATTAATTTATTCTCAAGGAATTTTTCAACTTTGAGAATATTTTGGGCGGCTTTGTATTTTTACATCAACCTCATCTGAAGCTTGTCTCCAAAGAACCGTTTCAGATATGCAACTATGGGTTCCAGTTTTATTTTTTTTTGTAAAAGATTTTTAGTTTTGCCTGTTTTTCTTTAATTGCGAAATCGACTGAAACATGAAGCCATTCCATGAGAATAGGAAACTCGATATCGTTATAAGAACGTGCGTGAGCAAACTCTGGTGGATTTGTTACAAAAAGTTACATGAATTTGGAATATCAAACATTTAGTAGCAAGTTTACGCCAAAACTATTTTTTTAAATGAAAAAATGTCTTCTACATATGTCAATCTTTCAAGTTTCTACTGGCTTTACTTTGGAAATTGGAATTTTTTATTGAAGAGTATGTAGTTACGTAAAAGCGTTCATTTTCAAATCAACACTTACGAAGCGAGGAAAATTCACGATTTCATGCGATTTGAATGAACTTTTGAATGTTTGAAGGAATTTTGACGACATTTAGAACGTACAACTCTGAACTTGTAAAGCATTTTTAGTATCTGAGAAATTTATTTTTCAATAACGCGACGCAAAATGTGATATCGCAACAGTTTCTTAAATCCTAAGCAAAATTGTGCGCACTCTTTACTGAACGCACCACTCTGAACTTAGTATTTTTAATTTCTGATATTTTGTATTATAACTCATCGCGTCTCACTGTGCCGTACTTTTAACAACGCTTAACATTTAACTGCAACACTGGTGAGTTACTGTGCAGTTGCATTGGGTTGGCGCAACAAGCCATTTCTGCAACACTGTGCCAACGTGCCAACTCCTGAAAATTCACTGAGTTACCCACGCCTACGCGCGTGAGCTTTCTTATGGGTACTCGTATTATGGGAAAGTGCTGCTTACGCGTGATTCCTTTAGTACGTCTGCCATCCCCTTTCTTGTCTTCTATCTTAGTACGAAATATAGTTAGTTAAAAACCTCTAAATATTTCTATATTTTTGTTTTAATTGTTTCCTAAAATGTATGTTAAGTTTGCTTATTTTTCATCATTCGACTAAAAATGAAAGTACAATATTGTAATAAACAAAAAACTTTCAAATAATCATATAACAGGCTAATCCTCATAATCACATGATTTTATGTGTGTACAACTTTCTCAAATCAGTCAGGGCATATTCTTCGCACTGGTAAATTTCAAATCACACGCTGATTGGCATTTTAATTGATCTGATTGATTAAAGTTTTTAACTATTTACATTTCTTCTTTACCCAATTTGCCTTTAAAACTTTTTCTTAACCCTTAACCAACTGTTACCTATGCGATGCCGATTTTCATATCAAATTGCTCAACATCGCAAAACACATTTAAGAAAAGTACCTATATGTTTTTCTAGATGAGAGTTCTTGCGAGTCTACCACATAGATCGCAGATGTAAGAGCGGACTGTTTGAACAAAAAATCTCTTTGTATCAAAGCACGAGAAAATTCGCCAACAATATTAGAAATTTAAATATGCGGTTTAAAAGACTGTTTAATTCTCATGCCTGTAATGCATCTACCTGTGTGTACGGCAATCATTCGTAGAAGCAACCCAACAGATAAATTCGTTTTTGTTCAAGAGAAAGACTAAATGCATCCGATAAATCCGAAAAAAAAGATAGAGAAAATACATTTTTTTTATTAAAAAACTGAGATATTTCTTAAAAGTACTACAACACTTAAACTAAGTCAGTCTAAACAACCTATATAGAAGTTTTGTAAAATTATAGAAAAAAGGAAGTTTTCAAAACTAAATCAAAATGATTAAGAATAAACAGCACTAAATAGAACATTTTTCAAAATAATTATCCAACCTTGTCAATGGTGAATGTTGACCTATGAGTATGTATTGCAAAACTAATTACACACTCATATTTCAGCTAAATAGTTTGCCTGATTCAGCTGCTGCTTTATGTAAACTACTCATATTTAGAAAAATCGTATCCCCACTAAATCTCTATTCCGAAACATATAATAAAGTTAATTTTACTAAAGGAAAAACATTATGTACATTCTTGCTTAGGAAAAATTATAAACTTTCAATCAAATCTACTCCCAGGTAGACTAAATCGCTCATCAACCATTTTCATTACAACAAACCGAATCAATTAGAAATCTGAACAGTTTTAAAATGTCCATTTTTTTCTGTTCCATTGCTATATCCATTTTCTTTAACGCCGCTATCGGAAAGAGCGTCCACGTTTTCTGAGAGCACCCTGTAGGTGTCTTCCATTAGTTTGGGAATATCATCTTTCGTACAACCTTCAGTTGGAATGATAGGAAGAATTTTTATTTTGAGTGTTCCTGAAAGAAAATTTTATTTTTATTGTGATATCATTTAAATATTTTCATATAGAGTAACAAAAAAAAGTATGCATGCACTGATAATAAAAGATACATGAAGCTGGATGAAAGGTGGGTAAAGATGTGAAACGGATAATTGTTAACTAATATTAAAAATACAAACATTGCATTTTGCACATTTGCAGCATTTTTAAAATACTTTTTTAATAATGTACATATGTAGCTCTTTCCGTTTTATTTAAATACGAAATGCTTTGTAACTTGTTTGAAAGTACGGCTTTCAGCGTTCTCGAAAATCGCCGTTTATGTATTTTACACAACAGCACAATTTGCACAAATCTCATAAAATCGTTGACTAAATTGGATTCATCAAGTGCGTCTATTACATTTAAATTGATATTTTTTCGCGTTAAAAATGTACTTTGTTTGTAAAAACGAAAATATTTTGTTCCTTTTAACTAGTGCTAATATTTAAATAACATTTTTTCAATGTCACTCACTCTTTCTAAAAATTCAGGAAAATTATCAAAAAAACGACGAAGGCAAACAGTAAAAAATGGTTATGCAGTCAAATCAAGCAGTTGTCTGAACGAATTAATTCAGTTTTGTAATTATGAAAGATTCTTTAATTTTTTGTGCAGTTTGTTGTCTTCCAACAATTGACAGCATGAAAAAACAAAATGTGAAAAAGCAAATAAACCTTTAGAGTTGCGTCAACTGGTCGGCGAGCCAAAGTGTTCATTTTTCTGATACAATTCTTGATAAACACACGTAGCAAGTGATCATATTGTGTGAAACCATTTTACGTGTTATTCGATTAACAATTTTGATCAGAAGAAGTGGTACAAATGTATTCGATAAATTAACAAGTTTCAATTCGACAATATTATGTTAAAGAAGTAACAAAGTGATTAAGTTCGTAAGTATTTCGTATACATAATAATATATCTACTCATTCCAACGTTGTAAGTTGGCTTCTGAAATAAAAGTATTATACTGATAAGACAGTTTAGCTTAGCTACTTACAATTATTGCTTTAATTATACATTTTAGATCGTGACTGGGATCAAATTCAACTGGAGAACGCGTGTATAAGAACAATTTAAACAATAGGTATATTTTACAATATTTTCTAAGAGAGTGGCACTGAAATATGTACGTTTATCTCAGAAACATGGAATATCTGTAATTAGCATGTTTCTATAAATTTTAACTTACCGCTTTCAAACCTGAGATTTTTCAAAAATTTGTATCGGCACACCGCAACTGGTTGAATAGGCACTTTTGATGCCAATGCCAAATGAAAAGCTCCCTTCTTCAATGGCAATAGCTTGTTTTTGCCCAGGTTTCGAGTCCCTTCCGGAAACATAAGAACACGAGCCTTAAAAAGTGTAAAGAGTTTATTAATTTTAAAAACCTTTTACAAAAAATCATCTCATTTCCAACATCAAACAGAGAATATGCCCTTTCCAGTGAAGTTCTTTAAATTAACCAACAATTGAAATTATGAAGAAAACTGAATAATGTGCTTGACTTCAGCAATCTGAGTAAATCAAATATACCATTTTGAAATGGATCTAATTTTGGTAGAAAAAGATTGTAAAATTAAGCCAATGCTTTACATTTTGAATAATGAAAGGTTTTTGAAACGAATGACGATGTTTTCCAAAAGCTTTATTTTCCTACCTTTCTTTGCCGTATGATCTCTCCGGTTTTATTAACTGCATCCAAAGCATTTTTAGATCCCCGTTCTATAAAAATGGTTCCCCACAGCCAAGACGCTAATCCGAATGGTTGGACGTAGAATACCTCTTTTTTTGAAATAACTGTACAATTGTCCATGATGGGCCAAAGGCAAGCTAATACTGCAATAAAAAAAACATTACATTTTTCAATTTTACATATTGGACAATATACTTACGAAATACTTAAAAGTAAAAATAGTAACTTAAATAAAGCCGGTTTTCAACGACTTGTTGATCTTTTAATATTTGTATTCACATTGTTTGAACTAATATTAACTTTTGCAGCACATCCAGCGCTTACGTTTACCTTAGTCGTTTCAATAGTTCTTCTAGTACCTATGTTTTCATTAACTTTGACAATAATTTGATGAATTTTGCGCTGATTGACCAGAAAATTGTCCTTAATTATAGACCTGTACTATGTACTGGTCATGGTACTTTGGGAGCTCTTAGTGGTAAAAAGTATGATTATTTCATTACTTTGTCTCTTGAAATTATGGATGGTGACTGAACTAAACAAGGGCGGCCAATAATAAATATGGCTTTTGGATTTGGAATTTTAATTGATTTATATTCAGAACCTTGTAGTTTTTTAATTACGGGCAAAGTTCACTTTACTTTTGAGATAAATACCTTCGTTTGAGATCCATTGATCAAAGTTCATCCATTTTAACGCGCAATATCTTAGTTTAACAAATTTTAATGTTGATTTATGTGGAAGAAATTACCTACTAAATTCCCTCATAAAGCATCATCATCTACAAAAATATGTAAATTGTATTTAGGGTGTGTGGGACTTTTATCTGGGTATTTTCAAATAATTATTTTAAAGTAGAATTAAAAATGCGTTAAAATTGCTTAAAAGTCTTAGGAACAAGTTTGGTAGTGAAGCAAAATAGTTTTTGGAATAAAAATGTATATCTGGATGGCAATAACTTTTTACATTTTTATATTATATTTCTGTCATAACTATTATTATATATATTCAATCAAAACCCTATATTGCAAGTTGATGTAAACAAAAAAATATGAGCAAATACAGATAAGGTAACAATAATGCCTGAGTGTTTGATACATATTTCTATTATTTTTACTCGAATTAGCACCATGTATCGTAAGCTCTGAATGTGTTGAGGCACAGTGACACTGATGATAATAAGAAAATACAACAGAAACCGACTGAAAAAAGCTTCATAGTTGAAACCAATAAATAATTTTGTTTTTCAGTCAAATACTTATTGCTTGTAATTATTTACTTTTATGTATTGCACTTCAATTTTTTTAGAAGTGATGGAAATATTAGCAATTCAGGAATGTTATAGTTATGTTGTTCGCATCAAAAAACAGAATGTTCACTCTGTTTTTTTTAGCTTCAACTTTCTTTCGCAATTAAAAACTTAAGTTTTAATTTCAGCCTCATTTTCCTTATTTTTCTCTGATTTTGAAGTGTAAATCGAAATAATGGTCTATTTCTTTTATGGACATTTTTAAAAACACGTATGTAGCTTAGAAATATTGCTTTAAACAGACATTATTTGTTAGAATATCTAAATGTTAGTGTGAGATGCTAACGAAGTTAACTTATTTTTTGACGGTTTTCTAAAACATGTTCTGGGGTAACTGTCTGGTGTAAAAAAGCGTATTAAAACATTTTAGGAAAATGTTAGACATAATTTTAATATGTTTGAAAACTAATTACTTTAAAAGATTTGGTTCCAAATCAGGTAAAACTTCCCCGTGTCAAGATTTTACATACATTAGGCAAAACCGGTTTACTTTTGACGCGGCAACTAAGTATTGCATGTATGTGGAAAACATTTTATTATTTGATACTTTCAATATGGATCAAAGTCCTTCGCAAGTAGTAAATTAAGAATTTGCGATACTCATTGAATATGGTGGCATGTTTACGTAGGTGTATGATGTATTTTAATCTTTAGAATTTGACCTTTGCTGCTTGAAATTTTCTACTATTCAAACATAGCCTATTGTTCGTGAGTACGAGTGTAGCTTAAAGTGGATCTTGAATAAAAAAATGTATTTTTAACGAAAACTGTGAACTTTAAATATGAATTCAAAATGTGATGAAGAATCGAGTACCTACCGATTAAGTCAAGCATACTTTGATGATTAATAAGAACAACACAACCTGTATTTTGAACTATATTTTCGACTCCTTCCACACTTAAAGTCAGTCCTAGGAATGTACTACAAGCGCGTAGAGCAGCAGCGGGAATTCTGGAAAACAAAACAAAAAATGACTTCATTGAAAAACAGACCGAAAATTTATAGACTAACCGGCAATAAAAGTAACAAAACATTTACAGACTCTTAAACACAAAATGAACAATTCGCAACCTATTACTTCACCAAAGCGAACGATTCTTCTTTCAGAACATCAACTCACATGATTTGCTTGTAATTGTTTAATTTTGTAAGCAACTTTTTCTGGGTGCACTAATATAGGTAGATATTCAATGAATTAATTTACAAAAATATGAGACAAATTAAGAAAAACACAGAAAAATAATTGTTTTATATATGTAGTAAAACCAGAGCAATTAGCCGAAATAAAAAATAGTATTGAACACTTGCAAAGTATATTGAAATACCGGCGGTATTTTCTGGTTATTGATCTTAATTATGAATTAACTCAAATTACTAAATGAGTTTAAAATATTTACATGAACATTACAGACTGCTTCATAACGAACAGAACAAAAACAAGAAACCTATTTGAGACACGATCACTTTTATGAATATAATGTATCTGGGAATACAGAATTCCAAAATATTTAACATTTAATTTAATAAAGAATTCGAAGATGTTTTAATCAAGTGTTCAAGATGTTTTTAAACGTTTCACTTTAAAAATGCGTATTACAAATTACCAGTAACTGACGAGACATATGAATATCATCTAATCGTTATACAGACATCTTTTAATTAAAGCAAATTAAAAATAGTCAACGAGTAATCCTCATTTTCTGAGGATAATAAAATCATATCAAAAAACAATCCTATCAACAGTTATAAGTTATCGATCATTTTATTAGGATGATAGTTTGTTGGTTTAACGGTTACCGCTTTAATTAATTGATGTCTATATGAGTTAAATAAGTAACATTTTAGGGAGTTGAGAAAACTAAACGTGAGCGTATTTTTTAGTATGTAATTTTTAATTTAATTCAGAAAATTCCAATAAGCATGTGTAGTACTTACAATGCATTTTTTGGATCCCGTGGACGCAATAGCATGATCGGAATCGGTAGTGTGGCGACACCAATAGAAATCGTTATAAACAATACCCATTTGATTAAACATTTTCCAGCATCACTAAATGTCCATAAGAGGGTGAGAAACGCCACTATTGCCAATGACCAAGCTATAAATCCCATTGCTAAAAATAATTGAAAAATACTTGAATATTTGCAATTCCTGGAAATGAATGCGTGAAATAAATATCTAAACATCTCAAGTGCATTCATATGAAATTGAATAAATGAATAGTTTAAAAGTCCGAATATATAATAATTTATACGACTTTGACCCATTAGTAGTGTGCGAAAAAGTGTTAACTTTTGAGACAAATTGTATAAAAGATATTTTTATACAGTTGACTCAAAACCATGGCATAAGGGCAGTAATTGCAATTTTTCACAATGCAATTAATCTCAATATGTTCTCAATAATTTCTGTTTTAAAAGCGTAAAACGTTAGTCGACAAACACAAAAGAGATCAAAAACAGTTCGCGAAACCTATAATTATGCCACTTAAATTGTAATTGAAGCGAATAAAAAAAAACTTGGCTCATCGAAAATTAAGTAACTCGCCTACATTGAAAAATCTAGTTTTCACTTAATTGCAATTGATCATTAGTAGTTTCAAAATACAGCTGTGAACGAAATCAACCTGTTTTCAACAACGATGAAAAATAAATTTCTGAATTTTCATAAATAAAAATATGCATTTTTACTGGTCAGTGAATCGCTTTTGATTTTCTGAGTTCGGTATCTTACTAAAATCTTACTCAAACAAAAACAACAAAACTTCTTACTAAATTAAAAAAAAAAAGTTAAGCAAGTAAAAAACTTTCACCAGCTTTGCACAATTACATTTGTGTCGTTGAATGTAAATGGGTGCTATAAAAATGAATTTACCTATTAGTACTTGGACGGTGCACAATTCTTGCAAGGTATAATTAAATTATGCAACAACGGACTGTGAATTAGGCGACGCACTTGAACGATTGAGTAACAATGTTGGCAGAGCCTGATTAAAATTTCGTTAATCAGCAGTAAAATTAATTCACAGTCCATCATAATAACATCTCGAATTAATTACGTACATAAGCTGCAAAATTGCATCTGGTTATCGGTCAGAAATGGTTCCCTACAATGGAATTTTTTTTCATTATATTTTCATATATTTTACATATTTTCTACCAGAATTTACATCTTGATGTTTCACCTTAATAATTCGTTGGCTCTTCTTTTTTTTGCAAATAACGACGGGCATTCTGTTTTAACACACTTGTTTAAGAAGTCACGGTTCCCGATTGATTTTACCCCTTTTTTACTTTATGTTTTTAAATATAAATTTATCGAATTCTACTTTTATCACTTCTAGTTAAAACAATAGTTCCATTGTCATTTAGTACCCGTTCTCCTATTAAATTTAAACTTTGAAAAAACATTCGTCATATCAAAACTTACTCGCATTCGGCGGCTTTATTTATTCCAACTTATAACATCCAATTTATAAAATTTCCAGGTGTATTTAATTAAAGTTCAACGGTACAAGCTGAAAATTACCTCAACAGATCGTCGTCTTAAGGCCGGGCAAAAATTAAGAAGATCAATCCAACAACATTTGCCGGTTTAGTGTTATTTTTAGTAATAAATTCGAGGAGCGTCACACTGCACCAACACATTGAGTACGTATAAACTTAAACAATGAAATTAAAAAGCAAATAAAGTTTATAGCGGGTACTTATCAAAACCTTATCTATGTGTACCTGGTTACGAAGATTATATGGACTGCAAGAGTACCAAGGGTCAATCTATACGTAGATTAATTAATTATTAGGTCGATTAGCATGGTCTAATATTTGAAAATAGTGTAAAACGAACATGTTATACTTTTTAAACAATTATTGGATCTGAAGTAATTTAACTACATTTTCGGCCGATTCACTTTTTGTCTCAAAACCCTCAGATGTCCAGATATTTTCCTCTCAAAAGGATGCGATCAGAAGTAATTCGTACCACCCCATGAAACTGTATAAATCGTATGTCTTTACTTGTATTTATAAGTTGAAATACTTATTTACGTGTACTTGCAGTATACTGGAATGAAATCGAGGATTTCGCGAGAAACAATTTCACTTGTATCCCGAATTTTGTACTTTAATAATTTCGTTTGCAACTTAATTGTATAGTGTATGTGTATGAGATTCTAAAATACCGCCCACAATATTGCATTTTTAAATTTCATGGTCGTTTCAATAAAAAATTAAATTTTTAAAAGAAATAAAGAATGGTGACGACCGCAAGTGGAGTCCTAATTTTATACAGGTTTGCCACTAAAAATCCCGACAAAAATGTAATATTTGTTTTATGAATTAAAAACTAAATTTTTATAAACATGTAGACATATAATGTATATGTTGAAGAAACTGTCCGCTTTGACTTTCCATTATTTTTTCGGATTATTCGATTAAATTTTTTTTAGCATCAATTTTATCTCCATTGACGCTTATTTAGTAGTTTGTTAGTGCAAGTTGTTCAGATTTAATAAATCTACTAATTTTCTAAACTTTTCACTTGAAATTTAAAAAAAAATGCTACACGAGCGCAATTAAAGAAATATTATTATCGATTTGCAAAACCGCACGATTGCCAAAAATATTACAATCAGCAATTTTTCATGCAGAGATGAAAACACATGAATCAATGAAAAATTGGAAAATATAAACTTAATTTGGATCACATATGAAATACCTGCATGTAGATATAATTTGAAAAAGTATCTATCTGAGTGTTGTCATCATCTATCGCTCATGAACATTCGCAAAATATTATAGAAACTAAATTAGTTTTTATTTGTTATGGTTGTGAGACCACTTTCCCTAGTTATACACCCGGTATAACTACAGCCTAGACGGTAAACTAAAGTATAATTTTGTGGTGTTATAATAGTCCAATTAGAACGTAATAGCAAATGTCTAAGTAGGTAATCCCGTTATTACTAAGATAATAAAATTGCCTATAAATATTTTATTGTTTTTGTATTGCTTTTATTTTTATAAAAAGCGACCTTTCTCTGAAATAAACCTTTGCTCTATAAATTATTGTCCTTAAAATCCGAATGAATGTCAATTGATCATTCGAATTAATCTCAATACCTCATATACCATTATACCTAGTTAATTACACTTGTATAATAGATAAATCTGATTAGCTTATCAGCTGGCATTTTTTATCGTTTCAGCTGAATTTGGGGAATATTTGTTGAGAACATATTCATGACTCATATTTACAACCCAAATAGTCCTTATATAAAGGATACGAAAAAAACCTTGTAAAAAGTTACTAGAGAATTTAATAATTATATTATTAAATCGAAGTCATCTCTTCAGAAAAAGCATAGTAGCATTCCTATCACGTACTTTAATATCATCTTTTTGGTGATAATTTAACAAAGCACCCAACAAAGTGGGTTTATTTTAGAATTTCCATGGCCAAAAAGTAAAAAGTTTGTGATATGCTTTAGTCGCATTTGGACATTGCCCTTAACATAAATTAGCGCTTAATATTGATAAAACCGATTTATCACTGTGTTGGTTTATTCGATTTCAATTGATTTAATAAACGCACAAAACGAATCTTTTGTACCTACTTACGTGAGGTGAGTCAGAACTACGAATGTCCTCTGTATCGCGGTTGTCGCAGCTTCCAGCAGAAAATGCTACTGTTTAAACAGGATTTATGCAGAATTTATACAGGATATAAAATGATTTTGGACAGTAATAAAATAATTCGTTGTTATTTTTCCTTTTTTTTTCACAAATTATAAATCGCACATAAAATACAAAAGGAAAATATATAGAACCGTTAAAGCAAAACATGAATGAACAGAAATTTCATTTGTATAAGAAATGTGAAGAATATGAATGTTAAGAAAATAATTAATTTTCTGTTATTGATTCTACATCTACAAACATCGTCTCTGAAAGGACCGTTTGGATCTCCAGACCAGGTTTAAACCTTGCATCTTGCCAGTGTAACTTAACAAAAAACGTGGAAAGTGCCTTACAGTACAATTTTTGTATCAAATTCAACCCGTTCTATGTTTATAAAAATTAAATCAGCAAACCAATGATGCCTGGAAGATTTCGAATTTCAGAAATTCGAAATAGCTGGAAATTGCGATTCTTCAAAATTATGAGTTTGTCTTGAACGAACGCACAAATTTAAATCAAGGGCTTTCCTTTGGACTCCGTGAAGTCCAGACTTGAAACCTCTGGAATTTCCAAATTACTGTAAATAAGATGTTAAGTGACGGAATGAAGTAAAATATAAACATAATGCAGGGTTACAAAAAGGAGGAACCGTTTTCACTTGATGATATTTGCAAAACACAGAGTTTAAAAATATGTTTTCATCGACTCGATGACTACACCTATGAGTAAAACTTGCGAAATCCATGCAAAATACGTACTGTTTCTCCTTAACGTTTATCTTTACGCTTCACATGCGAATGTCACATTCACATAGAACACACGCGTTCACCCGGTTCCTACCGATTGTAAGGTCAACGTTAGACTGGCAAATGTACGGATGAGACGATAATACAATCTTCCTAATTGGTTAGTGTCAAATTAGATCTCTAATGTGCGTTACTTAATGAGCACGATGGTAGTTATCCAGATTTTTTAAATATACGTGCACAGCGGTTCGATAATCACAGTCCGAAGGACAATATTAAATGGATTTTAACATGCTTAACTACATAAGTAACCATAAAAATCACTCAAATTTTAGTGTCTATACCATTCTTTTAACTATTGCTGAAATTTCGAAACATGTTTTTCTTTAGAAAAACATTTAGGTATCTGTTTTTTTGTGAGAGATTAAGAACCTAGTCGTGATTTTCTAACTAAAATGGTCCATCGCAATATATTTTTGGATAATAAAACTTAAATAGATTCAAGGACTTCACACATTTGGCAAATTGTAAATATGTACTTAAAAAAAAATTGATACACTAATTGTTCAGGAAACTTTCCGGGTATGATTTGAGAAAACTTGATCAAATCATAATTCGTCTTTCCAGAAACGACCACAAGTTTACTTTTACACAAACTTAGACAACTTATTACTATAAGTAAACTACTTAATTATAATTTAATTTTTTTCATGTTCTTTAACAACTTTAGCTACCTGAGAAATACCACGATATTTGATCTTTAACCGCGACATTGACTGACAATTTTATAAGGTCAATAGCTTTTTTTTACAGATATATTGAAATCAACCGTTTCTTAAATAATGTATAAATTTTACAAACCGCTGGTAGAAAAATATAAAACGCTTTCCGTTTTATAATAATATGTTTTACTCAAAAAAGTGCACTTATTAAATGTTAAGCATCGTTAATATTCAGATGTTAATACAAAAATCTAAATTATTACCTTTTAACTCTTCTTGAGTCTTTTCGACATCATTTTCGCATTTGTTCTGGGTGTCACCTGTTCAGCAGAACCTGCGAAACTAAATGTCCACTAAATATTTTAAATTATAAATAAAGCTACACTTGGTACTAATAAAAGTGTTTATTGATAAACCTATAGTATATAAATGAATAAGTAAATTGCATTTAAACTACCCGAAATAATAAAGAATATAATTTTCAAAATATTCAGAAATTAAATTATCGAAAAAAAGATATTCGCCGAAAATAAGACGTTTCAAAATTGAACTGAAATCTATCCGTTAACTTAGTAATATTATTTCATTCATAAGAACTGAATAAAAAATACCTTAACATTGCAAAAAAAAACGCGGAAGAGAACTATCTAAAAAAATTATTTAATGCCTTCGTAAAATAAAAATATGAAACTGTTTAGAAAAATATGTTACTAATTTGTCATTTTATTTACATTTTGTAATATAATATAAACATGTACTGTATTTAATGATCTGAAAGCGCGCGGTGCGATTTGCAAATAAAAAATATTTATTAAAAAGTAATATTTTTGAAAAATCAAACATTTTTTTCTGAAAAACTGTCTCTTATAACAGATCTAAAATTAATAGTTTAAAGAATCTATCATTACACATCATTTCTAAAAGAAGTTTAGAAATGTGTAATGTCTAATAAAATGGATTAACATTAAATCCAAGGAGTAAATTTTTAATAATAAATATACCCTTTCAAAATACTGCCAGAAAGAATAATAAATACGTTGGGAAATTGTGTCCGCAATCTAAGACAAAATGTATATACTATAGAAATGCTATTGGATTAGTTTCAACGCCCTTTTACCAAATGGCACTAACTTAAAATGAAAACTACCATCGAATGGAATGCGTTCATATTAACAAGTAAAACAGAAATACACGTTTTTAAAGAGAGAACAATAAACGGTAGCGCAGATCTAAGTGAATTTGCGAAAGTTGTAGATTATCACAATATGAAAACGTCGTATAAAATATATGAAAATGTAAAATATTCTGTTCGTAATATAAGGCCATTGATTAATTCGAAAAGCTCATTACTCGCTAGGTAAAATGCCGCTCGACAGATAGGCAACAAGGATGAAATACCGATTGTAAAATAGTACAAGATTTTCCTAATCCTCGTTATGGTGATATTTGTATTGCAGAATTTACGTGCTGTAAGAATCTCTTACCATTGGTCGATAACATCTTGATACCTATCCAAAGATATTGTGATAAGAATATGAAAAATTAAGCAACTACATGCCTAATTTTGAGCAAAATTTTGATTCACATTGTTGCCATTGAAATTTGAAGAACGCGAAGAAAAATGCGAAAATACTTAACTGAGAAGAAAAACTAAAAGAACCCATAGCTGCAAAAGTTCTGTATAATTTCAAAAGTAGCAGCTATTTCAATAATATAATAGTTAAGTATTGTTAAACGTTTTTCTCATAACAGCATAAAGAAGTTTCTCTTGAAGTAGTCGCATACTTTTAAAGCTTAAACTAAATCAAGAAATGTTCGATTTCATTTACATATTTTCGAATTGGTCAACGCGACGCTTAGTGTTGCCTTTGCGAATTTCACGAAGTGTTTTATATTTGTCACGTCCTTGTCGAACGTTCTCCCTGTGGATCTTGTCCATGGCAGTTTCTTTTGTCTCATCTCGAGATTGGGCCAGGTCCTTTTTCAAAGCCTGCAAAAAATATGAAACATTTACAAACTGTTAGGATTAGCAGATGCTTGCATCTGCTAATAAACTAAGTGTGTGTGTGGATTAATATCTGACAGCTTGAGTTGGATAACCTTCATTTCTTTTACATAAAAGCATGAGAAAATAACGCATGGTGCTGAAACAGATACAAAGCTACGATAAATCAATATAGTAAAGGCAATCGATGCAGAACATTTTAAATGATCTAAATATTGTTCATTGTGTTATAAAAAAGTTCAGGGAGGCTGCCAGTGTTTTAGTGTTCCTGTTCGTGGTAAAAGTTCAGGTCGACCCCGTATATTTCCCGAAAGAGAACATTGTGTACTTGTAAAGATCCGCAGATCCAACAGAAGAGGCACCCTATGACAAAGTCAAGCTTAGTGGAATCAAGAAGCAACTTTAAATGTATCGTGTGAATGCAGTAGAATTTAGCTGCATAAATCTGGTTACAGTCTTTTTAAACGTTTATTATTTCATGGGGTTCAATACAAAATGGTTATTTTTGTATGGGTGATGATTCATGAGGTGCAGGACATTTTTTCTTAATAAAAAAGTTATGTCATATGTCTTCATTTGAACCAAAGAATGTCTCTGTGCCCCTTTGATCATGTGTTTACTGGAAACCCTGTATGTACCACCTACCATGTAGCTTAGAAATATTGGAGATGAGTAGCAAAACCCCAAAAGAAATTGTTAAGTTAGCAGTACAGCACACTTCATGCAATATTATTTAGTTTAATCATCTACTTGACGATAAAAAATGTAACTAAAACCATATTTTTACATGAAGTCTGTGTACCAAAGAAAATTAATAAGCCTGAAAATAAAATGCCATCAAGGGGTTTGTGCATCATGAAAAATATAGTTCAGCCTTTAAATGGCAAACATTAAGTGTAAACAACAACACCAAAATACCTCAAATCTCAGTTTCTTGTGTTTGCAGAGTTTGCAACATATTGGCACCTAAAAAATTGCCTACTTGGATGTATTTGTTTTATAAAAATATATCGAAAATATGTTTGAGGCAAAAAATCTGGTTGGTATCGGTCCGTAGCAGTTTTACTGTAAAATGTTAAATGCTGACCTGTAATTGATCTTGCAAACGCTCGTTGCGCTCAGCAAGCGTACGCCTGTCTTCAATTGGATCTACAATGTTCTCGTCAGTATTCAGATCCTTGCTGACATCACCGTTGACAAGTTCATCATCTTCATCATGATTATTTTCCTCCAAGTGGCCTTTGGTAGCATTAGCCATTTGTTGCTGCTTCAGTTCGTCTTCTTTGCGACGAGCCGACTCGACCTCTTCTTGAAGACGTTTGGTCTCGAAGTCCTTAGCTTCAACCTGAAATTAGAAAATAATAAAACACATTGAAAAAATATCCACAAAAGACAAAGTAAAAAATAAACTATAGTTGCAATAAAATCGGTATCATTTATATTGTAAAGAAACAAATTCATTTTGGAATAAGGATACGACATTTATTTTGAACTCACCTCTTCTCTGATTCGCTGAACTTCAGCCTGTTTGGCGTTGATCTCGTCCTCCAATTTCTGACGTTCGGCTGCTTCCATGTTCTTGCTTTCTTCCAGACGTTGCATCATCTGTTGCAGCTCATTTTGTTGTTGCTCCAGCTCTTCCTTTGCGGCCTGAAGCAGCTTAAGTTGTTCTTCTAATTTTCGAATCATTTCCTGGGCTTCTAATAGGCTAGCATGGTTGCGTTCCATTTCTTCCTGCATGGCTACACGAAAAAAAAAAGTAAATTAGTTGACGGTTTTTTATTTGATTTCAAAGTTTGTCTGCGAACAAATTGCAATATATATTACCTTTAATCCTATCTTCATACTCCTGTTGTTTCTTTTCAGCCCTTTCTCTTGCAGCAATCTCATATTGCAACTTTTCTCTTTGTGCTTGTTTCGCAAGCTTTTCGTCCCTAGCTTGGGCTTTCATTTGCTGAACATCTGCAGTTAAACACACCAATTAAAAAATGCGCTATTAAATCATTTAGCTTTAAATACACACAACAATAAATGTAATTGAATTGGGTAAGCTTCATTACTCAAAGATGTGACATATTGTTAAAGACCAAAACTAGTTCTTTATCTGTTTAAATACCTCGCTAAGGTTTTACACGTGAGATTATTACAGTGTTACTGCCAAAACCGATTACCATTATTTCAACATATTTAAAAAGTTTACAGATTTTACAAAAAAATATTTAAAATTGAGTAAAAAAATATTTTCATGGCCTGTCGTACTAACCTATTGTGTCTGGTTTCCTTCTACGCATATAGAGCTCGTGATTTCCCATGCAAAGGGCCAAAATTCGTTTGTTAATCCGAACTCGTGGAGCAAAGAAAACGAAATCTGGGGCTTTCTTGTCGATGGGTTTAATTATGAACTTGCGGTCGTTGAACGAGATATTTCTGATTTCTGACCAGGGGAATCCAATCTTGGGAGTAAGCCTGGAAATTTAAAAAATACTGTTTGAATTGATTACATACGTATGTACTTAACTACTAATTTTCCATTATAATTGCAAGTTCAAATAAATACGTTAATTTATTACTAAGAACGGGCCACCACGATGGGGTTTTAAAATCTAGAATCTTCACCCGAAGTACCCTGCATACTGTTAATCAGATCAAATTAGATAAATTATACTAGTTATGCATCAATCCACTTTTAGGAAGGTCAATTGAGGTTAATGGTTATTTCCATTTGGTATAATAACGTTTTAAATAGTAACTAAAAAATATGTGATTAGTAAGTACTTACTGGTCATCTTTTTCATAAATATTGAGACCCAACGCATCGACTCCCAAATACAATTCGGTACCTTTTTTGTTACGGATTTCGAAATAGTTCACTCCGTACATTTCCAGATCTTGAGCAATTTTAAGGTACTCCATCATTGCGTCTTCCCGCATCATTCCCCTGTGTTCTTTCCACCAGGTCATTATACTGTTTTCCCATTCATCTTTTGACATTTTGTGTTGGTCCATAACTCTGAAATAACAGGACATTTTCCAAATAAAAAAGTTACCAATTGATGTTTGACTGAAAATCAAAACTTGCTATTATTGTTTCGAAATATAATTTCAGACGTTCTATAATAGCATTTGAATTTCAACCTCAATGTGGCGAAGGTAAAGTTAAAAAAAAATCGATAAATAGCTGTTTAATAAATCGACATATTAATGCTAATTAGAAATATTTCAGTATAAACCACATCAATTTACAGCACGTGGCAGCAATAATTGCAATTACTTGGCTTGATTTAGTTTGTACCCACGTGAATTTGATTGCTTGATTACGATTTGTTATTAGAAGAAAATTTTAATGTTATTTGATTACTTAAAGTAGAAGATGTAGGTGAAAGTGAAAGTTGACTTGACTGTCGGTTAAGTGATAACCGATACGCTTTAAATTGATAATAATATTATAATTGATAAAAATCGCTAATAAATAAGTCAGTTGTACCGTTGAGGCAAAAGCCGGTCGTTGGTCAAAAATCCAGGCGAATGATTCGACTTGATGTAATCGCCATGTCTGGCCTGGACAGCATAAGAAGCCAATAACACTGAAGTCTCTGGAGGGCAGTAAATTTCATCTGATAGAATGCCATTCTTAACTTGGAGGTAGAACAGCCGCAAAGTAATATCCTGAATTAGCTCTTCAGCCACATCTTCAGGGTAGAATTTGGCACGGAACTTGAATTGGAGCGGGTTTTCTTTCTTCACATCTTGAGCCATTACCTAGAAAAAATAAGAACAAAAACCAATAAGCAATTCGAAAAACAGGTAAACTAAAAACAAATATATCATTTGAGCATTATTGACAATTTTATTGATAGGTTCATATGTTTAAAGTCACCATGTGGGCAGCATTTTCGAAAAAGTGAGTCCTCACATGTTTAATCTAGTGAAATATTCCGTAACTGGTTTAAGCAATTAGCTAAAAAAAGAATTCCTGAAATCTCATAAAATGCTAAGCAAACCCGATTAGCACCTGAATGTTATTGTGTACTGATGAATAAGTCATTACTAAAAACTATGCAATTTATGGACTAAGTAAAAATAAGCAAAGCATTGTACTTTTTAATGAAAAAAAGCAACAGGTTTTTGCTTATTTTATTATTGGGCCCATCGGTCTTAAATAGTGGTAAATCCTGCTCTGCTTAACGAATCATCTCATCATGTAGCTAATTATTAATGCAGTGAGAGCGAATACCTTTGAGGTCAAATCAAATCAAAATTTTAATGCACGCATATGTCTGAGGAAATGTGGTGCCATGAAATTCCGTTACCTCCACTGTGAAGATATAAATAATACTATTGGTATTTGCAAATTTTAATACTACGAAGCAACAAGAATCGTCTTATGGTTGAATTGAAAATGCAGAAACACATTTAAAGGCGCTTGGAGTATTACTATTGAAAGTATATGAGGTTGATTCTACACTTGGTTGAAATCTTTATATGAAAACTAGTTACCGGTTTCTATACACTGCTAATAATTATGTTATTTCATCATCCCAAACCAACTGTTGTTATGTAATTTGTCACCTAAACAGATCGCAAATTTTAAAAATCTTCCTTCAATAAAGAACTAGATAATTTGCAATTATACGAGGAGCAAATATAAAATACAAGTTAACAAGAAGAAATAAGCAGAAAATTAAAGTAAAGGATTGGTTAAATTTAAAATATGTTTTTTAAGAGACAGTTAAAATTCAACAAAGATGGATGAAAGAAAATTTTAACTACCTCTAAACCTCTTACAACTATCTTAAGCATACATATGCAAAAAGTTATTATGTGATATTTATAGATGCGTTAAAGAAGTTAAATATAAAATCGAAATAAAGCCAAGAAAAATCCAGGTTCGAGCTTAAAATGTTGGCATTTCTTCTATAATTACAACTTTGCATTTATTTATAGCAGCCCCAAACGAGAAATAAATAACGAAAACACTGTATATCCATATTAGCGTACAGTCGGCAAGTTCTAGACATAAAGGTCGTAATTTTGAACCATATTGAGGTGGAAATAATGTTCGCTTTTACTACTTACAGCATTAAAAGCAATTATTTAAGTTTAATATGGCCTATTCTGAGAATTTACGGAACAATTTTCAATGAAATGGTCACATTTATGGTACAAACCAAGGATGATAACAAATTGCTCTAACATGGCACGTTAACTGGAAAACGGTATTAGATACGAGTAATTGAAAATACAGCGTGTGCGACAAATTGAATTATTATTAGCAACGAAAAGTTTCAAGTTAAATTAAAAACTGATAAGGCGTGTAATACTAAAAATTTACACCTTGTGGAAGTAACATATTTTTAATGTTAATAGGTATATAGTTACAACGCTGTGCAAAGGCTGCAGTGCAATTAGGGCTAATACGCTATTAAATTGGTCAAGATATTATTTCAACCAGCTAATAAAGTCGATAACAATGCTACTAGGATGTATTAAGTTTCCTTGAGACTTCCTAATTTCAGTTTCCAATGCAACTGGTTTTCGCTAAAGCTACGAAAACGTCATTATGATTATATAACAACCCGAGACGATTTCATATAAAAGTATAATTAGCGAGTACCTTGAATTATTATCATTATTAGCGTAGTCATCTGTATCTACTCGATTGGTTTGTTAAAGGTCAGATAAGAATCATTTGCAGAATTGCCGATTGCTGATGGTTATTTAAGCATTGTTTTCAACATCAAGACCACAAAAAGTGCAACATGTGGGTGCATTTAGCAATCAACTTAAATTACTAGCAAATTTCAAACAATTTAAAATACATGATTCAATATTAATTCAAAGAACGTTGTCAATTGGAGCCTTTTAAGAAAATTGCACCATGTCAAAAGAAAACCTGTCTAATCCGAAGTGCACATTAGCTTGAAACTCAACTACTACAAAAATTACTGCTGGAATTAAAAACGAATCCCAAAAGTTTACAAAGTTAATGTGAATTGAAAAATAGTTAGTTAAAAGGTTTGACTTAAAAGCATCCAAAACAATTAGCTTTCTTTATTTTTACCCCGTATAAAACGAGACAAAATATGTACACAAATAATAATAATAATAGAAATTATGCACGACAATTCGATTAAAAACATTTGTTTGTTGTGCGGAACGATGAACAGAGGTTTAACCGTTAAGCGTTGGAGCAAAACAGTACAACCTGCTTTTAATGATATGAAATTTCATCGTTAGCCTTTGGTAAATTCATCGACGACCAGATATCCTGTCATTTGTTTGCAAGGTAATACCACTTCCTTTCCCCGTTTCGAACAAAGCAGTTTGCCGGGGTATTTTTTTGAGACATGGAGACCCAACAATAATTACAAAAAGACTGAGAGAACAACGAAATTGTTAACGATTATTATAACGTTTCGTTATCAGCTTAAAAATCTAGCAGGAGACAATCATACTGTTGACTGCACAATTCTGGGAATATTCCTTTAGGCAACTGGTATTAAATAAGTTCTCGAGCCACAAAGGAAGTTTAACGAAATATTTAAAAACCAGCTTGGGAAAATATTAATAATTTAAATGTTGCACACTGCACAACTGCGGATACCAGAACAACATGCCAAGGAAATTTGCCTCTTGAATAAAAATCAATGGATGCAAGTATTTCAATTTTACATTTTAACGCGTGGAAAAAGGCCACTCGTACCAATAATGGTCGGTCATAGCTAATTAACTGCATGCCTAATGTACCAATTAGTTAATCAATGAACAATTAATTTAATTGAACAATGAAAATCTAACAACATATGCCTGGCGGGTGATAAAGTAGCGAAATCGGTCTTATTGGTATTTGGTCATCGAAGGTTCTGGTTCCAATAATTCTAATTAAATAAGTGAAACATGGAGTATTGAATTCGTAAAGAATACGCTATTGACTTAGATAGGAACATATTTGATAAAGGGATTAGCATAACCAAGGACATTGGTAGGTGCCACTTATTGGCTATATCGACGAAAACTTTGCAATAAGCTCCAGAACGCAATAGAAATTTCAACAATTTATGCAAATAGACAAGAGTTTTTATTTAATTTCTTCTACAGTTAAATCATGAGCAGCAAAATTAAAAACTAGAAAACTCAGTGAGAAACATGCTAATAATAAACAGGACATTTTAAGACGTTTTGAAGTTGCTGGGAATTTGTGTTGTTTTATTGTCAAATTTATTTTCTTTCAAGCTAACTTGGCTTCCGAAAACACTAAATTTTTATTGAATTAGTAGGTAATTTCCTACTTGGTAAGTTAGATCCTTCTTACAAGGTACTTAGGAGCCTTCGTGACTTCTTGCAAGATGAGTTGCAACTATGTAAAATTTATCGTTAGGATACCGGGAAATCAGATAATCGTTCTAGATTTTTATGTTAGGAAAACTTGCTGATCTGTATAATTCAAATAATCCCCCTAAGTAACTGCCAGGAAGCTCGTTCCAAGATTATGAAATTGTCTGATTAGACCGACCTACTATTCAACAGATATAAATCTCATTGACAGCTAGATTTGGCTTTTTTGAAATTTCTTAATCGGTCTAATCCAGGTAGACTCCCAACAAAAATTTAATATTTAAAGATTAAGGCACGATCGTTCTTGCCATGTTTAAACAATAATTATTGCTAAGCCAGCTGAAGAAACTACCAACTTACCGTATCGTTATCACTGTCAGCACTATCATCGTTTTCTATAGATGATGCATAACGATTTTTTACTGCAATAAAGCATTTCGTGCATTTCGATTTAAAATTATCCGGCTGCATGAAATAAAAAAATACATTCTGAAGTGATTTACCAGTTTGACAAACATAACCATGCAAAATTGATAGAAATTAATTAGCTAGCTTTAGCCCTTCGTTTAAAGTGAAATGCTGACAACTAGCTATAGAAACGGTTGGGCCTACAGCACAGCAACACTTACCCGTTCTCTTCCTGTGCAATAGAAAGCAAAAAAAGCATGTTAGAAAAATATTCAAGACATTTAATACTACTATGCCTTACAGTGTCGTTAAAGGAACGTTACCCTACACACTTAAAAAAGTGCGATATTACAAGTCGCGGAATTTTTTTAACAACCTTAATTTATTGCAAAAGAACATGGAATTGGCCACTGAAAAATGAAAATGTGTCAAAAAAAGCAACAAAGAACAGAAAGAATCATGAAGACCTCATATTTTCTTGAATACTTTAAGTGTCTGTAAAATGCACAAAAAATGACCAAAAACGATTATATTGTCACTTAAATCACCTTCTTATCGTATTCTAATGATTTCGTATTGTTGCAGACCAAAAATACATATCCACTAGTTTCTCATTTAACCACAAATAGAATTGAATTATAATAAGAAATTAAACATCTTGCTGAAAATTGAAGTAAAGTTGATTTAATGATAAAATTAAACAAAATTAAATACACATTCAACGATGCGATTAAATTACTAATAAATTATCAGATATTTTTTATAGGTTTCTTCTTATTTTATTTGCAAAAGGTATTCCCATCAAATCTTCAACTTTTCATCCAGTCAATTCAATTAAATATTGGCATTTTCCATCAAATTTATTTAATAGGTTGTAAGGCCAAGTGCGTATCTTCTGCACGTTATAATCAACCTTTCAACCACAGTTATATGTGCGATGTCTGAACCATGAAATTAGATGGCAGTTATTTTCCTTTCTAATAAATGCACATCCTGTATGCAGAAGTTTTTTCGATCAAACTGAATATTTACACTCCAAGTGCATGTACGTGCATTTTCAACCAAGTTTGTTTCCAGTATTTCGCACCAAAAGCCGTTGATCGAAATATAGTTAGATCTGCAAAAATGTAAGTTGAAATGGAAACATTTTTAAATTTTATGGAAAAACCATTGTCCTCATTAATATTTCAAACATTTTCGCTTTTTACCACTTGAAACTCGCTACTACTTTCATTTCAGTTGACTATTCTCATCACGTTTTTTTGCGGTAGCTAATACAAATAACACAAGTGGGCTTATCGTCAAACAATAATGTAAATCGGTATGACTGGATTGATTCATATTAACGAGGGATTTTATTTATCACAACTATTGAGCTTGTATTATGATGGATTATCTTAACAACTATCAGACAGCAGTAGATCGTTGACAAATTACCAATCAATTTTGGTGAAGGCCGTTTAACTGATTGAAGAAAAGGTAACTCGAAACGATGGATTTCTTAAATAGGCCAACAAATTTAACGTTAAAATGTTTATGAGAACTAAAGATGAATTGTAGATAATATAAAAAATACGTTTCTCTTAAACATTGACTGTTGTTAAGTATCACAACCAGCATTCCAAGTTGGCAGTTTTCAGTTCAGCGTCGATTCGAACAACGATTACTAATTTAAAACAGAACTTTTTTCATTTATTTCAACAAATTCCACTTGGTGGGAAGTTAATATCAGACACGTGATTCACCTAGCCCACGGGTGTGTCTGAAAATGTTGCGCAAATAATGCGTAGGTCCAGTAAAGCCTTATCAGAACACATAAATGT